GAGTTACGATCATCGTAGCGCTACGACAGTCGTAAGTCTATGTTAAAGTATGGGAGTTACGATCATCGTAGCGCTACGACAGTCGTAAGTCTATGTTAAAGTATGGGAGTTACGATCACCTTAGTGCTACGATCGCTTTGAGGAACGGGGCCCTGGTGAGGTTTGTTTGTGGTTTGTTCACCACTCTGCAATATCTCGGTTATATGACGACCGTGGTCTGCACCACATGACCTAGTGGTTGACGTCATGAGCACCGATCTACGCAATAGGGATACGGTGACATGCATTTGCCAAATCTGAATACGATTTCTTTAGTTGCCACTTACTAGCACTGGACTGTTGAAGACCGAGTCAAATCCGGATCTTCAGAGCGGCATATGTGTCATGTAGAAGTGTTCATTGCAAATATATCTATCTCTATGAGATCTAGTTATGTTGAAATTTACATTGGGACTCTGATATGTATACACAATGATATAACATTAGCGTCAGATCCCACACAAATTAATTTTACTTGTATGTGAAAGTGTTCATTATTTAAATGTCAAGATATGTATTCCGTGTTGTTGGTGAAACTCATAGTACACTATTACAATTTCAATACGTTCAGGAAGAAATATGTCACATGTTGAATGTCAGGATACTTACCCAATGTATTACAGTCAAATACCATTGTTGATGTTAAAGGGGGCTGCGTAAATGCCCAGAGTTCGACACAACCACAAAATGAGGACTTAAAAATATATACGTAGGGACCAAGCAATTATTTCGAAACAGCTGTAAGTTCGACTGCATATAATACAAAATGTCACACCACCTGTGATGCAAGGAGTAGATAAAACGTTTTGACCCTAACAATGATGAACTGCGTTGATAGAGTTTGGTGCTAATTATTTGTCATCAAAATTGCCTCCGAGATCCATACAAACATGAAACTAGCCAGCCAGGCTCCCACTGATGTAGAAGACGTCATCCTGGTATGTAAAATGTAATCAACGGCATTGACGTCATCACCTTTTGCATAGAATAATGTTTACAAAACAAATGATTACATACAAATAATTGACGGCTGCAGCATATGTCGGTTTCTTGCGAATATGGAAAGGATTTTGCAACTTTCATCATTTCAATAACCCTGCAGATTTGATTTAACAAAATATCGGGTATAGCATCTACCTTAGACTTGCAGAAGCTTAAGTCTCTAAGTAGTCTGTCTCACAGTCCCTGAACCACATTATTTTCCCTACTGCCAAGCCCTCTCTGCAGTGCTAAAGCCCTAAATAAAGCAAGTCTAGATTTCCGCAGAATCTCTGGTCTCCCTAGGGCGCCTTTTCAATTTAATTGGGCTTGTTTGTTACTATCAAAATTATATATATTCAGAGACTAAGCCTTAGTCTAGTCTCTAAGGTAATGATAGTTTAAATGAAAATTTCTGAAAAAATATAAATAACAGACTAGCATCCTGTGCTGTCCGCTCATCTAGACTGGCCTGTTTAAGGCTAGAATTACAGTTTATCCATGGGCTCAGCATTCAGTACAGCCTTGGAGCAAGGCTACATCTACATAACAAGACAGTAGCGTACCTGCCATTAGGCACTTTAGGCACGTGCCAACACTTAATTTTTTTCGGCGATTTGTTTCACATGTGGGATGTTATGGATCTATCAGCTGGTACATAACATTTTATGGTCAAATAGAATAACGACTTTAGCTGAAATAGCTATTTTGTCTTTACTTAAATACGTAATTAATATGTGATAGAATACTAGATGTATCAGTTCAGTTTCAGTAAGTTCCCAATGAAAACATATTTTTATGAAATGTTGGAAATCATTATTTTTGCAGAAAAATATAGCAGGAAATGTTGCCTGGAGCAACCCTTTTTATGAAAACTGTGTGGGGGTGGGGGTGGAGGTGGGGGAAAACCTCCCTAAGGTCTCGCGCTACGCACACTCGCACGACCAGTTGTGCCTACATTTCATTACTTTCCAGGGTACGCCCCCTGCTTTGAAGATACCAAACTACAAAATGTCCATTGGTCATGCTAGTCGCACCACATTTAGTTGTCACAACCGTACTTCGACATCCACTATGTACCGTGATACACAAATCACTTTGCCACTCATTACACTTCTGATAGTGAACCTTTAACGCTGAATATCACAGCCTGTACATGCTCGATCCTTTTCGTGTTTGTCCGTCAGTTTCCGCTAATCACGTGACTGGACAGCTCAGTCCACCTCGAGCCAGGAAGTCGTCCTCAAAGCAGGAAGGTAAACGATCGTCCCTCGACATGCTTGCCAGGTTACGCTGAAGCAAGGCTCGTAAACGATGAAAACTGACCTTCGCCTTATCCTGCGATGGGACGATTGAAGTTATGGCATGGTTGGAATTCCTGCAGTTTCCTGATTGGTAAGGGGTCGCTGCACGATTCAAACCATCCAAATCTTGTTTGACCTCGTTGCACCCTACATCCCTTCGTATGTCGCCCCAGCGAAGCAGAAAGGGGTTTCAGGGTGGTAGGACACAGACCACCCTCAATGGTGTAATCCACCTTGATCTGTGTCTTACATAGCTCAAGTCAAACAGGGGATTATTGCACGGTACACTTCCTTACATACCGGCCGTAACTCACTCTGGTCTTCTTAGAGATCACAACTTGTACTTCGTTTACACCAGAGACCATATAATAGATAGGGTCTCTGTTTACATCTACTTCAACTGTCTGGGGCTGCTCCATGTCGAATGGAAATGTCCTAAGCTCAAGAGCAGATAACTCGCTAGACTAACGCTTAGTGTCTGAAAACATAATTTGGATTGAAACCAGAGACGATATAATAGACCCTCTATTACATGGTCTCTGTTGAAATTATAGATCTTTTTAAATTGACAAGGAACCCGAGAGAGCTTGGAGTTCAGAACCTGAACAGGAGGAAAATCTAGACTTTTCCTTGTACTCAAAATGGTGTTGATGTAGCTGATTCTATATAAACTGCTGTTGTTTAAAGAGTCATGTACATTCTTTACTATTTATGAAATCAAATGACCTTACATGTAAAGGCTACTTAGCATTTTATCCACAGAAATAAGGACATCTTAAGGCCAAGTCCCGGGAACATAGAGCTTCTGGCTCGCTAATTGGCTGTAATTCTTTAAATAAATATATGATGGGGGCTTGTTGAGCGCCCTGTCTTCTCACCTCTCTGCCATTTACAAGTAAAGCGGCGTTGGGGTAGCCTCGTGGTTACAGCGTTCGATCGTCACGCCGAAAATCCCGGTTCGATTCCCTACATAGGTACAATGCGTGAAACCCATTTCTGGTGTCCCCCGCCGTGATGTTGCTGGAGTATTGCTGAAGCGACGTAAAACTAAATTCACTCTCTGCAGGCAAAATACTGAATTATGTTGCTGCTTCATTGTCTCGCAGCTGAATTGTGTTGGATTAATGAAAATGTAACATATTAAATTTTGGTATAAAACTGACACGATAACGTTCTGTGTAAAATTACACCCGATGATACCGGTTTATCCAACATCCGAATATCCCGACATCTGATCTGAGCACCTAAACCATCTGTCTAATCCGACACCTTCCGACACCCGATGTAGATACCTAAGATTCTGTCTGAAACAACATCCGAGCCCAAAGATATGCAGTTATACATGTTAATCAATACCTGAATACCCCAACGTACATATCTAAATTGACATATGCACATAAAGGTTTAGAGTGTTATCTGATAGCTGAACACCCAAGCATACCTATCTCAACTGACATCTGAGTATAACAGTGTACAGTGTCATCCAATATCTCAATACCACATCGTATTTATCTCAACTGACATCTGAGTATAACAGTGTACAGTGTTATCCGATATCTCAATACCCAAGCATACCTATCTCAACTGACATCTGAGTATAACAGTGTACAGTGTTATCCGATATCTCAGTACCCCAGTATACCTGTCTAAAACATCTGAACATATCAGTATGCAGTGTTATGCGGTGTCTCAGTATCTCAGCATGTCTATCTAAAGTGACTGTATGCAGTTTTATCCGATACCTGAATACCCCGGAATACATATCTAAACTAACATCTAAACAATATGCGGTGTTAATCGATGTCTCAATATCTCTGCATGCATATCTCAACTGACATCTGAGTATAACAGTGTACAGTGTTATCCGATATCTCAGTACCCCAGCATACCTATCTAAACTAACATCTGAACATATAAGTATACAATGTTATCCGATATCTGAATATCCCAATACTATAAACGTATCCTTTTCCCAAGCTTAACCGACCTTAAAATAGTGTACAAACTGAAATAATGACCGATAACGTTATTTCACACAAGTGAATATACCCCAAACCAAATAAATACATAATATAACTCATTTTCATGTATGAGTTGAGTTTCGTGGTTTGGGTTTACCTTGCAACTGATAAGGACACATTTGTTAATATTAATATTTTTGCTTAAATTCAATGTAAACATGTTGCTTAACTCATGTTACAAAATAAACTGAAAACCTTCTTTCTACTTCATTCTTAAGCACAACAGATAGAATCTATGAAACACTTAAAAGAATTGAACATATGCCGATCGTTATGAATTTCCATTTCACCAATCTTTAAAGGTCATTTGACAATGAAGAACGACAATAAAGCTTAATGTACAATCCCACGCAGCATGGCCGCGTGACCTCTCTGTGACAGATGTACAGTGGAGATGTCAAAGATGGCACTCGTTCAAAAACCAGTAAAAAGAGGATTGTGAGATATGAGCGGGAAATAGCAGCTTCGCGAAGAAGGATGGGCGTCTATACAATAGCCATACGTCAGTCGTATCCGTCATTGAGAATATCTCGTCCCCTTCCGGGGAAATGAACGCATTGTGTGCTTGTACCTCTGCGTCAGCATTTGAAATGTAGGTAATGCAGATCGAACCTAAAATAATACTGACTGAGTATGGTTTTACGCCGCTTTTAGCAATATTCCAGCAACATCACGGCGGGGGACACCCGAAATGGGCACCTAAAATAATATTAATAATAATGAGAATATATATAACGCGTCTTTTCAAGGCTGATATCCTGCTAAAAGCCCACAATCTGATCCTTATTACCCAGGATAGCCCGAGCCAAGCTAAACGGTTGATAGCCTAATGACTTATCCAACCGGGTACCCATTTTCTGCTGGGTGAACAGAGGCAATTTTGACCAAACTCACATGCCTAAGGTGAGACCACATGTATCACATGTGCTTCGTTGTGGGAGCAGGAGACAAGCTCGTTCACATCCGCCAAGATGAATGTGGCATGACATATAACATATATTTTTAAAAATGTTATCTTTAAAAATATATTCACATCTGGTAATATTCAGTATAAAATGTGGTAGTAGGTATCGATCACCAGTAGGCATAAGTAATCGGATTATCTTGCCTTTCAGATTGTTTTTGGATATTTTGTGTTTTTGTTATTGTAGATTTATTGTATTGAAACATTTTCTACATACCATATACACGTAATTCGTTTCTGTCAAAATGTTATTTCTGATTTTTGCTTAACCCACCTACAAAGGAGTAATTGAAATTAACATCAGTGTGTCATTTCCCAAGAGACTATTTTAAAATTAACATATATATTGGCAGCGGAAACAGAAACGATTTTTTGTCACATTAACATATCAATATTCCGTTTGTCATAACAGTAAATACGAATGCTTAATCATCTTCACAGGTGATTCATTAAAGACAGGAATTTATATGAGAGCTTTTGACAACAGTGTCAAGTCTTAGTTGGGAAGATTCGTTTAATGAATCTGAAGATAGTACAGAAAGGTTTTAACATGTCTTTTTAAATTCCTTTTGGCCGAAAATGATTTTACTGGGATAATAAAAGTTAGTAATGACACCAGTTATCCGCGAAGCGGGAGAACAAGTCTTGCCCGTCCCTTAGCACCCGCCATCAGTACAATGTTTCAAGAGAAATGTTAGTGAGTGAGTTTAGTTTTACGCCGCACTCAGCAATATTCCAGCTATATAGAGGCAGTCTGAAAATAATCTAGTCTGGACCAGATAATCCAGTGATCAACATCATGAGCATCGCTCCACGCAATTGGGATACGATGCCATGTGTCAGTCAAGTCAGCGAGCCTGACCACCCGATCCCGTTAGTCGCCTCTTGCGACAAGCGTGGGTTGCTGAAGACCAATTCTAACCCGGACCTTCACGGGTCTGTAGTAGTAGTGGATGTGCGTGTGCGTGTGCGTGTGCGTGTGCGTGTACGTGTGCGTGTGCGTGCGGGTTTATTCATAATTACCCTTTGTGTGTCACGAATAAAGATCTTGTTCGTTGTTTAGCGCCACATTCGGCAACATTCACTTTTTTGTAATCGAGGCTTGACCGGATCGATAAATTAGATAAATGTGCTCCGGATTAGACTTGTTGAAATCACCGCTTGAGTCATACCATGAAGTTTACATACCGATCAACATATCTTCAAATGAAGTACTTAATTATTTCATAGATACCTCTAGTTGTATTTTCACATTACAGATACGATCATCTGTAGTCCATTTTAGCTCTTATGGCATGATAAATTGTTCTGATTCATTTTGAAATACAGATATCAAGAAAGGTCATATTAATGCTACTTTATTAAATAGTAAAACGTATAGATATATGCCAGGTTAGAAAGTCTTGATTATCTCACAAAACAGATTCAATTTGGGATGAACTGTAGTTTTTGTTGTATTTGTTGCATTTGAAATATTGTAATATCTGATTTATGTTTTTTTAATATATTGTAGGCATTTGGTTTCATTGAAAAAATATGAAATTGTTATTAATTTCCGAATAAATGTGCGAGAATATCACTACACCACTGATTATTTAAAAACTGAACAATAAACATTTATATATTTGTTTATATTGTCAAATTTCGGTGTATAAAAATATTAACATCAATGCACAATATAAACAGCGTAAAAATGCAACATGGCGCCTGTGATATTCAAAACGAAACCAAAGTTTTGCTTGATGCAATTCCTTATCATGACTGTATAGTATCCGGGTCTGTTTACGTTATCTTGTAACGTGACTTTGCGCGTGTTTGTGAAGGGTGTCGTCGGTGTGGCAGGATACGCTCAAATTTTCTGGATGCATCTCGTATCATCCCTATTTGATAGTGATTCCTAAACGTACGCTTGACTCTACTTTAACTAGGATTTCACATTGGCTTTGTCCTATTATTTTAATAATATTCATCAGAAAAAAATATTTATCACAGAATAAAATAAACTTTATCAGATGATGAAAACAAAAGAGCTCTTTTTTCTAGAACTGGTTTTGTAGAATTCAAATTATAAAATACATTTCTCGAAATATTTTTGTGCGTGTTGATTAATAAAAAGGAAGCGGTTATAAACAGGTACAGTGCTAGTGTTACATATAATGCATATTTAAGGCTGCGTAACCTTTGTATTTCTATGTATTGGTTTTGAACCCATTTTCGTTGATAACGCTGTCCTTTATGCACTCACGCTTTATTGGTTTGTTTTCTTTATATAACCCCCAACCCACTTTTGAGTTCCCTCCCTGCATTGCCAGTGCCACCCTATTCGCGGGATTGATCCGAGTCCCCCTTTATTACCCGCTGTTTTATGTCTATTCTCGTTTGCTTGGTCAGTAAGAACAGCTGGCCGAAATAGCCGACGAGGCTAGTTCCAGGATCCTTCCTGGATTTCATTAGTCGTGTCCATAGCAATTTCCAGTGTCTGAAATCAATATTTTCTCCAACGGTCAATGCCCCACTGGTCCCCTGCAAGGTCGCCTTATGGTCACTTCGATCGATACGTTCAACCGTGTATGGTGTACAGTGGTCATATAGTGGCGTGAGTCTCCTGGAGAACTGCCCATGGCACGTGCAGACTGACCACTTGTGTCGAGTGACGTGTTCAGATATTGATGAGAAAGTAAGGTAGAATCTCTTCTCGTGAACAGCCCGGGGCAGAATTATAGTGATTTCTGGTAAGATTGTGAGCCTAGTCTTTGACCATTGCGTGTATCTAGCCAAGAACTGGACAACTGGGCATTAGTGTCCAAATCTATCAGATGACCACTCCGACACCCATGGCGTGAGGTACGGAGATGGTCATCGGTTATTCATCACACCTCGTTATAAGACACTGTCTGGAAAGGACATTGAAGGAAACCGTTTAAAAGAACCCCCACGTGAATTTAGAACCTAATTTGCATAACTACAAAAAATATGTTGTTTCTTTCAATTGCGCGAAACACATGACGCTATACCATCCTAAGAGGGATGAATCATTCTTTATATAAATATCGATTTGAAGATGTTCTTCATAATTTTTTAATTAGCCGTCAGTCGATTATCTCTCAAAGTTAAAACTATGCATTCTATTTATTTGTGCCACCTTGACATAATATGCAGCCGAATGTACTTATACCAATCTTATGGACGGTGCAGTTATAACTTATACATTGTGGTATCAGAATACCTTTGAAATCACAGAAGACCATTTGTCATCAATGTAAGATTTTATGGAAGCACTTTCTATTCTTCCTCATTTTCATTTCCGATCTATATATCTAAACCAAACGAGGCTAAGTTATCACGTGACAATGCATGATTGATTAGTTGGAGAGGCTGACAAGAGGATAATACTGACATAACACGATTGTATTGACATTAGTTGAATGGACATATTATTTAGAGAGCTTTGATTGACAGACATACTCATAGAACGATATCCATCCATTATGCCTGATGTATATAAACATCTGGATGTTGTTAAGAGGAAAACAATTCATCTATTCTCGTCATGCATGAACTTCGATAGAAGATAATTCCTTGTGAAGGTGGTAGTACATTGGAAACCATTGCCAATAACAAGTGAAGTTGGTAACTAAACTGAGGAGGATTGTTTATATACAAGCAGATATCAATGGAGGTATATCTGGGTTTTAGATTAATCTGTATGTCTTGTCTGGGAATAGGGAATCGGTTCACATTACCCACGGTTGATAGTTATTGGTCACTACTTTGTTATGCATTTGAAAAGCCCTTATCTTATCTCGTGTTATCTTAGCGACAAATTATGTATACAGGGTCAAAATGACATTTGTTTTGGTATTCTTATTTTTATTCACAGAAATGCTTAAAGATTTACGTTTTTTAAACTCTACTGAGGGAATCTATTTATCTATGTGAGGTAGAAAAATAGTACCATCCCCCATTAAGACTACTAATACGTTCAACAACTGATATGTGATGTAAATTTACACGCGCGCGGACGCACGCGCACACATGCACACACATGGGGTAGTTTCTGTATATCTATTTCATTTTGGTTATTTTGCTGTAACTTGTAACAATCAAAGTTAACCAAGTTTAAGGATCAATGGTTTGCTTTCGGAATTAAGTTGAATATGAATCCTCCTCGCACCTATTCCGATTAAGAGTTGCATAGTAGAATAGTTGAATATAGATGTTTCGAAATATTAACAGTAAATATTGATTATGATACAGAACAAACATGAGTAATGCCAATGTACGCTCTCGAGCTGTAAATGTATTTGGACTCGGAAAAGAGAGGAGACGAAGTAAAGGTAGAAATAGGTTGACTGGAAAATGATCCTGGGATATGTTCTTGATATTGTATCAATATTGGTAAGAATGATGCAGGGAGCAAGTTTATTGATTATCTTGATGCTCGTGGGTTGGCTGGCGCAGTCACGTCTGCTGCGTGTGGGTTGTCGTCTGCTCCCTGCACGTGCTGATGGCAGGAAAGAGACGAGACCTGATTACGACACTGTTCGTAGAAAATCAATGTTCATGTTGCAGAATTGTAGCTGGCCGCTGAAACAGTGGGAGGAGCTGATAGGAGGAGCATCGCAGTTGTTAGATCAATGCCATGCTTCTGATATTTTATAAACTTCTCATATCGTGGGGTGATGTATGAGCGACTGTGCTGAAAACCAATGGCCGTTCATTACAGAACGTCTCG